TTGCGCTGCTATTGCTTGAGACAGATGAAACACTGCAAATGGAAGAGATGAGGGCTCCAGATGCACAGCAGGGCTGGAAGATGAGACTGGAGAGGTGGAATGAAAAGAGGGAGTGGGGAGGCCAGGGCTGAGGGATGCCCAGAGAATGACACTGGTTCTCTGAGGTAACACTGTGAAGATTTGAATTGCAACAATGCTTACAAAACCAAACGAAAGCAAGAATTAAAGTACAAAAGAAAGGACTGGCTCCGGTTGTCCACCTAAAGCACCCCTATCCGAGGCTGCTGCAGACTCACCTCTCAGCTCCTGCAGCTCCACGCTGAGGCTCTCAATGTTGGAGTCACAGAAATCAAGGTTTTCCAGGGTTTCCGCTCTCACCAGTTCATCCTGCTGCTCCTCCAGCATCAAGCTCAGCTCAGCTCGGGTCTTGCCATAGGCCTCCAGGTCTCGCTCCACCTCTCCAATCCTCGTCAGCAGAATGGAGCATGGGGAACCTGTCTGAGGCGCGTCCTCATGGCCTTCCTCTGCACGCTCCTCCTGGCTGCTGGGCTGAAGCTGTGGAGGGGCCACGTTCCTCCGCTGACTGCTTGATGGAGGCCGCGGTGCAGGCCGGGAGGGCTTCACCGAGAACGACAGAGACCTGCCTTTGGGAACCTGGCCACCTGGCAAGTGCCTAGGGGTTGTCGCAAGGGTGCTGGGCCGAGGAGGGGGCGGCCTCAGGACCTTCCTCCTCTCTGGCTGCCTGGCAATGGGGGCACACTCAGGAGACCCACGAACAATGTCCTTCTCAGAGCTATAGTCCAAGATAGAGAAGTGGCGGGAGACTCTGTCCTGCTCAGCACCAGTACTGGACAGACTCTTCTCAAACTGTGCCAGCTGCTCTGTCAGTTTGGAGTCGAGGTCTGTGCAGCCATCCCCCTGCACTGCAAGTGGGGAGCATTCCCCCCAGCTCCCAGGCCACGTCTCTAGGCCCACGTGGGCACTGCCCAAGTTGTAGGAACAGGATTTGGACTTCTCCTGTTGACCGTCCACCCAACTGTCAAGGTCCAGTGCACTGCTCCGGCTCTCCTGGGACTTTGATGCTGCCCAGCTGTTAGAAGAAACCACCTTGCTCCTGCAAGTACCTGGGGGCAAGCAGGGAGATTGCGGGGGCAGACTGAGACTGTCCCCATCATGTTCAGGCAGCGTATGAGCTCCAGAATTTCCTGGGGAGGCTGATATGGTTCCCCCAGGCTCCAAAACATCTGCTTGGAGAGGCTTGCTGCTCTGCTGGGGAGGCAGCTGGGCAGAGGGGAGAAGGCCATTGACTGTGTTTGTGCAGCCAACGGGGAGAACGTCCGCTGTGTCTTTTTGAAGCGGCCCTTGGAGTCCTGTGTCAGGAAAGGACTGACTCTTTCCCAGACCAGTGCCTAGAGGACCCTCTGCCCCCTCCACTGCGTGAGACAGAACAGTGTCAGGCTCTGGGTGCAAAATCAAGCCATCCTCCTTTTCCCTGTCATCCTTCCCTGGCAAAGGAAGATCTTTGGAGCAGGTGCTTTCTGAGTCTTGATGGATGGTCACTCCACAGCTGCCTCCACCCTGGGGATCCCCAGCACCCCGCTTTTCCCTGCGGGGATCAGAGGCTTCCAGCCTCACAAATCTGTGTGGAAAGATGCCGCGTTTTCCCCTCAGCTCCCCCTCTAGCCAGCCATCCTCCAGAATCCCTAAGATCCGAATCCTGTCACCCACATCAAAATCCAGTTCCTTGGACTCCAGCGCTTGGAACTGATAGAGGGCAACACCGTAGGTGCTCCCTGGCTCCTGCTCCCCATCTTCTCTGCTCTCCTCCTCCTTGGGAGGCATCTCCACTGTCCCATTGGTGTCACAAGGCTGCGTGGATTCTGAATCCTCTGAGGTTCCTGCTGTTCTCAAAGGAGTAAGCAGCTCCACAAAACCCTCTGGAAAAATGCCCCTGTGTCCTCTGAGCTCCCCCTCAAACCAGCCAGGCTCTGGGATGCCAACAATGTTGATCACATCCCCTTCCCTGAAGTCCAGTTCCTCTTCCAGCTGGGCAGAGAGGCCCATCAGGGCTCGGGCTTGGCCCAGCGAGTAGGCAGGCACCTCCAGGAGAGCACTCTGGGATAGCTGACGGCTTCGAACTGAAAGGCACAGCTCCCGCACACATGATGAGGGGAAAAAGCCCTTGGAACCCCAGCTGCTTCGGCCCTGGAGCCAGCTGGAGGCCAGGGAGCCCCCCAGGATCACCAGGTCTCCTGCAGGGAATGAGACACATCAGGTCAAAGACCTGCCCCCATGGTTGCTTCTCACTTCCTATGCCTGCCTCCCCACAGCTTTCTTGGCTGTGGGTAAAGCCTGGCACTCTGCACAGAAAGCAGTGCGTGCTGGGGATGCACAAGAGCACAGAATGGAGGTAAGGCATGAAGCATCATTAGCTTCGTGCATATGTAAGGTCCCTGGTGGATGTGACATGACCCACGCCATGAAATGTTAGAAATTACCCTCTCTCTCTTTTCATGCTACGGAGGATGCTGGGACTAGGTCCACCACATGCTTCTGGAAGGACAAGTGGGGATTACAGGATGCAAAGCAACAGAAAGGGAACAGAGATTACCTCTCTGCAATGACAGGCTCCCTGGCTCCTGAGATGTGAAGTCACTGGTACAAACAAACAGTTTTTCTCCCTGCTTCAAAGGGGGAATATCCACAGGCTCCACAAAGCTGCTAGGAAACTGCCCTAAAACAAGAAGCAGTTGTCAGCAATGAAACTTTTCTACAGCTCACCATCCCTCTCTCCACCCTCCTTCCAGATCTTGGGATCTGTTCTTCCTGCTAAAGGAAGCTATTCAGGGTGCCTATAGCATGGTGGAAGAGGAATGGGTTTGGGAGTCAGGAACTCCTGAGGTTTTTAAATGCTTGAGAGCTAGAAGAGAGCAAAAAGCGTTGTACCCTCGGCTCACTCCAGGCAATCAACAGGCTGTGTTCGTTACCAGGACTGTGCCACCAGCGGAGAGTTTCTAGGAGCAGATATACTAGTTTTCTTCACTTTCATTCCTTGTTTCCCAATTCAGGGGGCAAGATCAGGACCGTGAAATCCAGAAATGTGGGACCACAGACTGGGCACATCCACCTTGTGCTCCCCACACTGTAAGGTGCAGCCCACACAGGGCCTCAACGCAGAATTTGGGCTGCCATGCTTGGGAAGGCCAAGTCTGCAAGTCACAGGCTCTGTCACAGCTGCGTCACTGCTGAGGTTCTGGTGTCCTTCCCTGTTTTATCACCTCTGTGCAGCTATTTCACCCAGTGTTGCTGTTGGATGCACAGCTATTCCAAGCAGAATCACTCTGCCAGAAAGGATAGTGCACACTTGTTGGCTATTTTATTCAGCTACCAATTTTAGTCCCCAGACACACGGCCCAAGCACAAAGGCCACTACAAATATCATTCCAATCCTCGTAAACTGTGGCAAGGAAGAATGATGGAGTATGGGATAGTAGCATTTCCAGCATTCACTCACGATGTCCACTCAATACGATGTCCACATTCTCCAAAGCCCAATAAAACCTGGTGATGATTTTTTTTCTCCCTGAAAATACTGTACCCCAGAAACCCAGCACTTTCCACTGGCATTAGGCAGTTCGGCATCTGCCGTCATTAACTCTTGGTATGACCAATAGCCCACAGGCTTCTCATCTCAGTGGCTTCCTTTACAGTTTTAACCAACTCCAGTTCTTTTTCCATGTCTTCAATTTCCTGCTCTGTATATGGAAATAACCTAATGCTGTTTGAAAGGAAGTCGTGGAGCTACACCAACTATTCCCCACACAGTGTTAAGTATTATTACTAGCAGGCTGCAGCACCTCCATAGCTTCTACTCAAAAGCACTCTTTTAATTCCCTACAACTTTAGCTTAGAAAACTGTGAAGAAAACTTCAAGAGCTGTTCCAAGGAAAAGCAAGAATGCTAGTGGGTACTGAGTCAAAGATCACTAAAAACCATCCTGTTTGACTTCTGCATGTTTCTTTATCTTTGAGCTATGATACATAGCTGCTTATTGCTCCTCCATAGCTTCATCCAAGAACAAGCACATCAACTATGTTGGGAGACAAAACTGAGGTGAAATAGCTACTGGTGATTTTTGTAGTAGTAATTTGTGCCCAGCGACTTCAGCAGTAGCAGGATCAAGTGCTCATTCAATGCTATTTATCAGCTATGGGGAGCACAGAAGAGTTTTCCCCTCCACCTTTGCTCTTGCCCATTTTTGTTTTACCCAGGACACAGGCATCTGACGGCATGCAGCTGTTAGCAAGCCCAGACTACTGCTCTCCAACAGCAGCCACATCTGCACAGCTAGGGATGAAACTGCAGCCCTGCTCTCATGCTGAGGAGACAGTCAGGCATATGCTTTGAAGTAGCCTGTTCTTCTTCTCTCTGAGAGCTCGCACATCCTCTCAACATTGTTATTAAGATGAGGAAGAACTACTTAAAAAAAGGACAACAAGACCCTTTAAGTGACTCATTAAGAGCATTTTTCCTGCTTCAGAAGTTTCTTAAACACCTCCACAAGTTTAACAGTCTCATGCTCTACTTCAGCCATCCACATATTGATGGCAACTTGTGCAGGAATGTTTTAAAGCAGAAAGGCGGAAGTGGGCTGAATTAGAGGGCTCTGGAGGGGACATTGATTCTGTCACTGCATCTCCCACTGACTTGACCTGCCAGGGTCACTTGGCATTTCCACTCTCTGTGCATCTGTTTCCTCTCTCTCCCTGCCACAGCAGGTGAGCATATAAACGAGCCAGGAAATGGGCTGTCCCACCACAGAGGATGGGGCACCTAGTATTATTAAGCTCTAATCTCCTTGAGAACTGACATACCTCTCTCAAAAAAACAACAAGAGCTATCCATGCAAAGCTGGCAGGAGATCAGTGACAGGGAACCTGCACCCTTAGTCCCAAGCAAAGTCCAGTGAAAGGCTTAGTAAAACTAATCTGCTCCTGCACTCCCCCCTTGAACAGTGCTGGCCAAGGGAAGGCGCGCAGACAGGGTGTCTGATTAGCTGGGCGCTAGTCAGTGTGTCTCTGTGCATCCAGGTGCAAGCACTTCAGCTCTTACCTGTGACACCTTCCTTTTTGCCAAGGAGCCAGAACTCGTCCACCACAGCCAGCACCTCGATGACATCTCCCACAAACAGGGGCAGCTCCTCAGAGACGCTGGGACAGAAGTCAAAGACCGCTCGTACCACGGAGCCAGCCTCCATCGCGTGGGGTGCAAAGGCAGACCAGTACCTAAGGCTGAGACACAGCAGCAAGTCTGTTATCAACAGGACACACCTGAAATTATCATGTACACGTTCACAAAGAAAAATCCTTCTCAAGCAAGAGAGGCAGCAGCACTCTGAGGTGGTCCCATCCTGAGCTCACTGAAACCCCTCTCCAGGCTTCAGACTTCATTACCACAGGAGCCAGGAACCCCCAGCAACATCCCCAAGTTCAACCTGCCTTGCCCAGCCTCTCCGGATCTCTCTTTTAGGACATAGGTTAGTGCCACAACGGGGGGAGAAGCAGCAAGAAAATCTGGAAGTGATTTCCCGTCAGGAAGGAAGCAAGAGGAGGGGAGGAAGTCCAGCGTTTCCCTGACAGGCAGGCCTAGGGCATGGAGCCTGCCAGGGCCTGAGCAGGGCGGGCAGGCAGGTCCCTGCACACACTGTCTCACCGCACACACTCCTGCAGGAGAGACGAAGGCGTCCCGTTCCCCAGCACCGCCGCTCAGGGCACTGCCAGCTGCTCGCTCGCTGTCAGAGCCAGAGCAAACGCGCATTGAAGCAGCGTCACCCTTCTGCCCAGCATAAGGGTACAAAGTCCTCTCAAGCGAGCTCGGCCCACCACCACCACCCAGGCTGACACTTCTCGACACAGCTGGGCATGGCCCACCTGAGCCCCTTGTGAGTCCAGAAAAGGATACGCTAACACCGAGAGGGGAAAAAAACATCACCGCTAATGAGGTGCAGCACACTTCCAGCGAGTGTGCCAGCGGGCAGCTGCAGCCAGGGAAACAATTTCTGCTGACGGGACGGCTCTATTTATCACGCAGGACTCACCTCGTGGGAACAAAGCGGGTTTGTGTGCGGCAGGATCGCTTCCTCAGCGATCCCTCCCCCGCCCCGCCGTGCCTGCACAGATCCCCCAGGCCCGCGGCCCCGGCCCCGCCGCCCCGTGCAAAAAAGGTGCAGGGAAGGCGGGAGGCAGGACGCTAACGGGGCCTGCCAACACTGTAAAATGGCAGCGCTAACAGGAGGCAGCGTAACGCACCCCTTACGACAGCGCTCCTCAGGGCTCAGACTGTGAAACCCTGCAGCCTTCAGCAAACTGCTGCCTTTCACAGAGACATGCGTGCCCCTTCCCACCAGCCGCCCCCAAGCCTTGCCCTACAGACCCTTAACAGCGACCACAGGGCTGCAGAGCCGCTCTGCTCCAGCCGGACTCCTGCCGCTGCCCCTCTGCTGTCCTCTCTGCCCTGGCTGCTGCTGCCTACCGCCCTACCCTCAGCACGTGAGCTCTCTGGGGCACAGGCTCCCCCTTTGTCACCAGCATTGTGCTGGCCGTGCGGCCGTGCAAACAAAGAGCCCAATATCCAGCAGCAGACAGCATTCTGCCACCAAAAAGAGATGAATGGACTAGAGTGAATCAGGAACACAAAGAGCTGCAGTTCAGGATAGCAGGAACCTACTGAGGCAGAAAGAGCAACAGTGTTAAAAACATGACCGTGCGGAGCAGGGAAAAAGATGCAAGAACCATCAATTAGCCTGGAAAACTGAAAACAAGAAAGTAGCCAGAGCTGCTCAAGGTGGGGTGGCTGAGGCGGGGTGGCTGCATGTTCCGACGGTATCAGGACAGCAGCATGAACAGGCACACTGGCAACAGCCCCATGTAGGCATCTGGGGCTGCCTCCGCCCCGCAGACAGTCTGTGGGCTCCCTGGCACAAGACACCGCTGAGCTCACTTGTCATATTCTCAATACGCACGCTTCGCAGCTGTGGTGGACCCAAAAAAAAAAAAAAAAACCCCAAAAAAACAGGTGTAATTGCTGCCTCAACAGATAAGGGGAAGTTTTCCCTGGGGCACATGCAGAGCGAGATTTTTCCTGTGGTTTCCTCTATCAATGGATGCAGCGTCAGCATGGGCTGAGAAGTGCAAGGATTACAGCATGGGGGCTGCACGTCCAAATCCTATCTTTCCAGCAGTCATTTTGAGGCTGAGGATACGGCCCTCCCACTGCTGGGGACTCAGTTCCTTGCCTGCGAAAACAGCACTCTCACTTCCTTAACTCACCCAGCACTCTGGGGATTCATTCATTAAAATGCTCAAGATTTTCAGATGAGACAGAAGACTGAGAGGGACAGGGAGGATCACAATTGTTCTGCTCTCGACCTATTAATTGCAGTTATAACAAAGCACTGGCTCTTACATGGTCGTATGAAAAGCATTCCTTGAGAGCCAGCCCATGATGCAAGAAAGCATGAAGTGGTTTCCGAAACTGTCAAAAAAAAAAAATCTCAAGCCACTCATTTTCCCCCAGTAGCACTGAGAAGAGTGGGATCCCTCCCTGACAAAAGGGTTTCAGGGGAAGGGAAAAGGAAATCTGGAAGCATTACAGACTGACAACAGCAGGAGCCTGAGAACATTCTCCATTAATTAAGTGCTTAGTGTCTCAATGAAAACCCTAATCTAACAACTTTTACTTCTCTGGAGCCACTAACTGACCATGCGAACAAAGAGTGGAAAGGAGTCATTACAGCTACACAGACACAGCGAGGGTGAGAGTCACCTAGGAGGAACGTGAGCGTCGGTGAGCACAGGGGATGCTCACTGTATCACTCTCCCCCTCAGTAAGGGGGATAGGAGCCAGGCACGTTCAAACTCTGCTCCAAAATTTCCGGAAACGCCTGATGAGCCCACACTCCTGCCCTCATTCCAGAGATATCAGATGCTTCATTTACATATTCTTGTCTACAAGTAGAATGGCCCCAAACTGTCTCCCGCCAGCTGGACCAGAAGCAGGGTCCAGGTCAGGCTACACCTGAGCCAGAAGGATGAAGTACAAGCCCCTACAGCTGGTGCTACTGGGGCAACGTCTCCCAGGTCAGTCTGTCCTTCCACAGTTCCGTGCCAGCCCTTGGTACACTCTCCTATTTCAGCAAGGGACCAGGAAATTCCCCTGAGTACAGGACTGTTTGCTATGCTTTTCTCTCCCTCTGAGTCTAGACAGTATGTCCCTGTATTTGAAGGCAGTGAATCAGTCTTGTGGAGTTCGCTTGTTCCATAACATGACATGAACACAAAGTATTCTGTTTTCCAGGATCTGGGTCTTGTCTTACTTACTCCATGCAGTGCTGCCTGCCAACCTTTTCCCCAAACCCCATCTAGAGAAGGAAGCCTCCCAGCATCATCCAGATTGGAAACTTACTGAATTCAAATCTTCAGGCTTAATGGTGGACACAAACCTCACCCAGATCCATCCCAGATCTGCCTGGTGAAAACAAACATCCAGCTCACGCACAGGCTCCAGCAGGAAGAGCAGACTGCAGGGAGAGCTGGGCTCCGCCTGCGATCCACAGTGAGTCATGGCTCCTGACTGCTGGCCAAGCACCATCCCCTCTCACCTCCAGGATGGGTAATCCCTCCCTGTCAGGGGGTGGGAGCGCTCATCCACAACCGAGCAAACACTGGGACTTCACCCTGATGGAGGTCAGGGCTGCAAATCGCAGCAGAGCTGGAGGAGGACAGAATTCCTGCCTCCACCTCGCAGCAGATCCACATCCAAAGAAGGCCTCACTGTGCAAGTATGAAGTTGCAGCAAAGCAGTGAACTCGCCCTGCTGAGAACAAGCTGTCTCTGTCTTGCTGCCTGATCCTCCACAAACTAGGTAACATGTTCCAGTCACCCAACTGCACCCCATCTGCTTCTTAGCTCGGGGTCTGACACAACAATATTGTGCAGCAAGGCAGAGAGCGAATTCCCAGAGCATGAATCACCCTTCTCAGCCTCCCTGCGTGCACGCTTAGCACGTATGAGCATTACCTTTATGGAAGATAGCCTATCCTATTTTGCCATTAGCTCTGGAGTATGATTGGTCCAGGGTGGGCTGATGAAAGGAGAGATCAGAATGAAAGGACAGCTATTAACTCTGTTACAATACTGTTTGGAGATCTTCAGCACAGACTGGACCACATCACAACAGCCAAGAGAAGGCATTTACACACTGATTTAGACAACTTCTCATATCCCTCCTCTCATTTTGCAGCTGAAACTGGACAGGGTAAGATGTCTCCAATAACAGACTCACCAGCACCAGGGTGGTGAATTATTGCCAGCTGCTTGCTCAAAAGGCCATCACTTAGATGGAAGCAGACCTACTGAGGACAGTGATATAAGTCTGTGTGGTTTCTGCATATTTTTGATGGCAAGGATGAGCAAACGGAGTTCCTGTACCTTAGAATCACAGGTCTCATCTTCCCTGTTTTTGCTGAAAGGCTCCACAGCAGGGATTTCAAGTGCTTAAGAGATAAGGCAGTAATGTGAAGAGACCATTATAGGTTGATTACAAAAAGCACTAAGAACCCCAGGAATAGGAGAGACCTCAAAGGTTTAGAGACAGCTAATCCAGTGGCATACTCAAGTTGTGGATCAGATGAAGAGATAAAGAGCAATCATGGACAGATGCCACAAATTTAGCAGAAAGAGGACCAAACTTCACAGGCAGTACCACCACGTGTTCCCCCCTATATAACACTTCTCAGCTTCTCACTCAGAGACAGTGCTATTAGAACGGCCTGTGGTCAGCACTATAGCATAATTCGTCAGCATAGTAACCAAGAAACTAACATATCTCCAAACAGAGAAAAAATGTAGCGCGGGCTTCCACATGCACACTTGGTTTGCATGAGAGAGACAAGCATATTCTTACATAGCAGATGGCTCAGCCTCCTTAAAGATTTAGAGCCTGCCTGAGCAGTAGGCCAGGGAGGAGCCAGAAATGTACAAATCCACGTTTATCCCAGAACAAGTGAAGAAAACTAACAGAGACTGACAGTGAAGTTATCTTTTTTTAAAGCTGAAAAACACCACGCATTTCACCTGTGTCTCTTCACGCCTCCTTCTACTCATTGTAACTTAATGCCTGCTCCCTGAAAACAGAATCCACCTCCAGAAATGGAGATGCCCCTCTACCCTGTTCAGTGCACTCTCCAGCTGCTGGGTCTGGCCTCAACAAGGGATTTGCTGCAGCTCTCACTGCGCTCTGGGATGGAGGATCAATACCTGATATTTGGTGCGAGGAAACTACGAGTTTCACTTGGCTTGTTGCACAATTGTTTCACAAACAGAAGCTTACTATCTACAGGCTGAAGCATTTTCCCTTCCTTTTCCTCCGCTCCTCCCAACTCCTTGTGGTCTCCAAATCTGGACCCCCCTCCTTCTCTCACTTCTCCTTACCCCACTGCATCTGCAAGACCTACGTAATCCCCGTTCATGCTTCACGGACGGACATCGTCCATACACAAACACACCCTCACACGAGCCTTCAGAGCGGCACCCCCAGCCACGGTCACTCCCACAGCTCTGGGCAGAACCTGTGCTTCCGGGGGTCTTTGCTTGACTGTGCATTCCTGGGTGTGATAAACAATATCCCAGCGAGCGAAGGCATCTGGTCCCCAGCCAGAGACAGAGCACACATGGGGATTCAGGCTCCATGGCAAACCGTAGAGCCAATTCTACTTGACCTGACAGAAGGGACGAGGTAGCAAGTGGGGCAGAAAGAGAGCCTAGAGACAGGGAGGAGAGGGGCCTTCTCCCACCAGGAAAATGCTGGCTGCTGCAGCCTCTTCTGTTAGGAGATACTGCTCACCTCAGCAGATCCCCAAGAGCTCTCCAGTGAGCTTCACACATTGAGAAATGGGAAATCTTCTCTTACGCACTCCACCTCCTAACTCCGTATGGCTCCCAGGAGGAAGAGAAGTAGCTTCATTTCCTTTGTCTGTGACCTGACATACAAAAATCATTAAAATAAATATACTTAGGTTCCATTCTCAAGCCCTCTAGAACTAGGAAAGCCAAGAACTAGAGCTGCCTGAGCAACCTCTGGCCTCCCACAACACATGTGCAACCGTTTGGGGTATTCGCCACAGGAGCTCTGCCACATGCCAGACAAGTCATTCAAATCACTTCTTTTTTCTTTTTCCAGCTGGACACTGGCTGTCAAAGTGTTCTCACCTGCTCTTTAGCAGGATGCAGGTCAGGGCAGCCTGGCACTATTCGTGCAGGCTAAGCGTAGGTTGGGGAGAACGGAAGAGGAACTTGTGTTGGGCCAGATGGTAAGCAAATAAAGTCATACGGAAACTAGAGCACAGCATCAATGTTTAATGTCAGGCACAACACCTTGTGAGCATGTGAGCAAGAGCACTGTTAATGGATATTTAATCTGTGGCATTGTGGAAACAAGCATGCAAAGGCCAGACCACCAGTATAGGACACAGCAGTTTCCCAAATTTTAGCCAGGACTCTGCACCAAAAGGCTGCACGCGTTTTACGGACACTACTACTGAGTCCTATCTTCTCCTCCCAGGAGGCACATGTTTGTCTCTTTTTCCAGACAAGGCCACTTAGAATGAAGAACAGACAAAATCCTAATAATAACACCACTTCTGCTATGCGGTACCTGTGGCTGGTCTCCTGTGGGTAAGTAGCACATGATCACAAAATTAGTCATTATACCTCACATACATAGGCAAAACAGATTGGGCTAGGGATACAAGGACATTCCTCAACACCTGAGTGCTTGACTTTGCACCCTGAACCATATTTTTCAATACAGCTTTTGGAAAGATGCCCGTTACAATGATTCGGTTGTCAGAGAGGGAGTCCAGAAGTCTGGAAATTAGCCCAGTTTGAACTGGAAGCTCTTCTCTTTGCCTTCAGCCCTGTTCTGCGCTGCCCGTTACCTCTACAAAACCTAACTCCCCTGGGTAGGGACTCTGTCGATCTGGCATCACAGCGACCTGTTCCTTCCAGAGCCTCTAGGTGCTCCTGAGAAGGAAGCAATATATATATATATTTCCTAACAGAAAGGTTCTAAAAATAAAACAAAGCAAAAGTTGTTGTCACTCTGAAGTGGGGTTGAGCAATCACTAGAAACACGATTAGAAAAATACCTTTGTTGAAGGTTGAGGGGAAATTATCTGTTAAGGTAATGAAGTCCTAAGGTAAGCACAGTTCAGGCTATCCCACCCAAGCACACATCATCACCATTACAAAGTCCATCCAAACAGTCACCCACTGAACAGACATCTCCGCTACACACTGAACGCTGGGACACCACACACCACGCTTCCCACAACTACTAACAGATCTGATGCTCCGGCAGAGCTGTTAGTTTTATTCCCTCCCTCTCCTGTATTGTCCAGTTCCTCTTGCCCCGCTGTGAAGTTGTTAACATCTTTCTAAAACTGTTATAAGTATGTACTAGTTTTTAACGTTACTGCTAACCTAAGCAGAAAGGCAACAGAGTGGGTGCAGTGGCTACAGCCAGGCTTCAAGGAAAGGGGAAAGGGGCGTTTGAGCGCAGCTGGAGACAGCATTGAAACTGTTGTCCTTGGCAGAACAGAGGATTAGAAGGAAAGAACAGCAAAAGAAGCCAGCTCAGAGATGTGGGCATTAACTGTGCTAAAGAGGGCCCTGAAAACAAGACGACACATTTAAACATGACGCCCAGCACAATTTGGAGCCAGAGGAGTGAGTCAAGATGAGGGGGATGGTGATGACGTCTCATAGCACGGTACAGAGGCTGTATTTGGCAAAGCATCTACAAAACTACAAATTCTATATCTACAAACTGTTTCTAGCCTTTTGCAGAGGTAAATTCAGAATTGTATTGGAAGCTAAGGAGAGAATGGAAGAGGTAAGGGGAGAAAGGGCCTTTTTAGAAAAATGTGAAAGCCATGGAAACCTGGTGAACCTCAAAACAGCTGTTACTTGCAATGCTTATTACACAGCTTGGAGGCTTCCTAGGTACTACAGCAAAGAGGCTAAGATGTGAAAGAAGCAGGGAGAGGGGCACTTCAACCACAAGAAATTGCAGCAGAGATGTTTGAATTCAAAAGCCAAATGGCATGAAGGACAAGATCAGCTGAGCATGCTGCAGCAGGACATTAGCACCAGAGCAGCAGCCTCTCTGAAGATGTTGAGGATGCAGTGCATCCCCTGGTGAGGCCATTTGAGGAGGTGCTGCCAGTTCATCTTTGCTAAAGCCTAAGGTGGCTCTTTCCTTCACAGTGCCAGGTACACAGCAACGCAGAGGGAGTTACATTTACTAGAGTAAGAACGATAGGAAACTCTCTGAAGTTTTTCTCCCCAAATTGGAGCAAAGAATGGATGCTCTCAGAGGAGCAGCTTGGAAAGGCACAGCGCTGCAGCTTGGACTTTCTGCTCTTTAGGTGCAACCATCCACACTGCTGATCTCCAGAGTATCACTGCTGAAGACACTTGTGGCTGGCACACTCAACACCCCAAACGTCTGCTCTGTTTCTATGTGGTCAGGAGCTCTCCTGAAAAAGCCTTTTGAAGAATGCCAGCTACCACAGACTGTAGGTCTCCCAGGCAGGTTATCAGCCCAAGGGCCCACCAACTACACAGACACAGCTTAAGAGATCCAAATCCCTAGGCCACTTGGCACGCCACCAAGAACGCACTGTGGGAATTACCCTGGCGGCTCCCACCGAGCTCAGGCTGTACCTGACAGCCGGGCCATACAGCAGAGGTGCCCGAAACGCTCGCAGGGCAGGGTGGGGTGGGCGTTGCGGACGGAGTCAGAGAGACGCGATAAACATCCAACCACATGCCAGCGGTGGATGGACAATCCGGCTGCCAACCCAGCTCTCCCCGCGCCAGGCGCTGAGGCGGAGGCTGTGCGGAG